AAAAAAAAAACTTATTATTAGAATAATAAATTTGTTCAAACAGAAAAATACCAAAAAAATAAAATAATAATAATAATAATAATAATAATAATAATAATAATAATAATAATAATAATAATGGAGAAAAATTATAGACGATCAAAGATAGAATTTTCCACTAGGATGCTAGAATTAATGAATTATATAATTTTTCTTCTCAAAAAACTCATTCACCATGTACCTATTCCAAGAAGGAAAGCACATCAATATATAGAAGATCAATACAGGCTGAACTTTTTACCTAAAAATTCCTTTTCTCAATTCAGTTGTCCAAGGTGAAACTTGCATCCCAAATTTGTCTGTAAAAAACATAAATGTTGTGAGCTTTCCGTTCCTAACCAATTATGAAGTTGCTTTGATCCATGGAAAAGTCAACAATTAATTTTAATTATATATTTTATAGGACCACAACTTTTTAACTATATATTTCATTAGAATAATACTATTTGCAATCGCTCACTGTAGCAGTCGCCTTACGTAACATACACATGATAGATGATTATTTGATGTATTAATGAGGTAGTTTTTTTACCTCATTAATACATCAAATAATCACCTGCATGGCAGGTGATTATTATACTTGTACAAATAATCAGTACAGATAGAATGGCAGCATTCATCTGTCAAGAGCTCTTCTCCTTTGACCCAACTCGTGGTCACGTTTGTCCAAATATGCCAAAACTATCATTTTCATCAAAATGAATGGAGGATGCAATTGTCATTACACAATGAGCATGAATATTCAAAATGGTATCTCTTACCAAGTCAAAAATTGCACATTCCCTTTGATACCGTGTATTCTGTCCTAAGCTCCAAAGTCAATGCTTGAAACGGCTTGGTTTCTTCAACATCACTGTCTCGCTGTTTATAAACTTTTAATTCAGACCACTAGCCAGCAATTGTCGAACTTGACAGACAATAAAAATCCTAAATGAAACGTATTCACATGAGTAAATTCCAATCTCACATGCCAAACGGCACAAGTACAATGAGACTCGGTGATTCGGTAGAATTTTTAACCTTTGAGACTCTCTTTCTGACCCAAAAAAGGTCGCTTGTATGACATTTCAAGCTTCCAGTGCGCAGAATCTGGTATGAATCTGGAAACTTGAAACCGGCCAACCTTCCAAAAACACAAGTGGGTAAGCTTCAAATAAAGAAAAGCTACTTTTAAGCAACTTCTTACTTCCAAACATGTCGATGAGATCTTTGATATTATGTTATCTTCCCAGTTATCCATGATACTAGTTTGGTTATGAAATTAGTACTCTTATATGTATCAATAGAAACCAAAGCTGTGCAGATTATTTTTCCTTCTAGGATTTAGGTTTCGACTGCTTTCATTTCATATTCAAAGACGACGTCCAATTAAATTTTTTTGGTATAGTCATTTATTCCAATACTGGTTCGTAGGGTCAATAAAGAATAGATATTAACTCACGTCAACTTCAAGACTCCAGCGCTATATAAGCCAATTGTAGTTTCATCTCATTTTGTGCACAAAGGGGAAGTGAGAATAATCCATTGTGTGCACAAACGACGAGTTCTCGATCTCATATTTGTTACTTCTCACGCTTGTGCTGCATCAGAAAGGTAGGGAGGCAGTAAATCAAAGTTCACTAACTCAGAATTTCTTTTGAGTATCTTTTGTGCAGTGAAATCCAATATGGAAGGCTCTTATGGTGCACCTGAATCTGTTCAAAAGAGATTTGCTCTGCCTGTAGATTCTGAACATAAAGCCACTGAATTCAGATTATTTTCAGTGGCTGCTCCTCATATGCGGGCGTTTCATCTGTCTTGGGTTTCTTTCTTCGCCTGTTTCGTCTCCACTTTTGCTGCTCCGCCGCTCCTTCCAATCATTCGTGATGATCTTGATTTAACGGCCACAGACATTGGAAATGCTGGAATTGCAGCAGTTTCAGGCGCAGTTTTTGCTCGAGTTGCCATGGGAACCGCTTGTGACCTATTCGGTCCTCGACTAGCTTCTGCTGCTCTCACCCTCATAACTGCACCAGCAGTTTACTGCACTGCCATTGCCAATTCTGCTGCCTCATTTCTTTTAGTCCGGTTTTTCACTGGCTTCTCTCTCGCAACTTTTGTCTCGACTCAGTTCTGGATGAGCTCCTTGTTCTCTTCTAAGGTCGTTGGCACTGCAAATGGCATTGCGGGAGGGTGGGGAAATCTTGGAGGCGGCGCAACGCAACTGATCATGCCTCTCGTCTTCAGCCTTATCCAGAATATAGGTGCAACTAAGTTCACAGCTTGGAGAATAGCATTTTTGGTCCCTGCCCTATTTCAAACTCTATCAGCATACGCTATATTCTTCCTCGGCCAAGATTTGCCCGATGGAAACTATGCACAACTGCATAAATCCGGAGATAAACACAAAGATAGTTTCTCACAGATTTTCTATCATGCCATTACAAATTACAGAGGCTGGATCTTGGCATTAACTTACGGTTATTGTTTCGGGGTTGAACTTACAATAGACAACATAATCGCACAGTATTTTTATGATAGGTTCAATGTGAACCTTCATACAGCTGGAATTATTGCTGCCAGTTTTGGATTGGCAAATTTATTCTCACGACCCGGAGGGGGGATTCTATCAGATATTATGGGAAAGAGGTATGGAATGAGGGGCAGGCTATGGGCACTGTGGATAGTACAGACACTCGGCGGCATTTTCTGCATTCTTTTAGGCAAAGTTGGATCTTTGAGTGTGTCGATTGCTGTAATGATTATATTTTCCATCTTTGTTCAAGCTGCGTGTGGCCTTACTTTCGGGATTGTTCCTTTCGTTTCAAGAAGGTATGTTCTCTAAATGTCATTCGCATTCTATTCCTACTCTGTTCGTGTGGAGCCTAATGATAATGTATACTTATTTTCTTGATTACTGATCGACTTAATATTGACTCATCAGGTCTTTGGGCATCATATCTGGAATGACGGGTGGAGGTGGAAACGTAGGTGCAGTTCTAACTCAAGTAATTTTCTTTAGAGGATCAAGATACTCGACAGAAACCGGTATAACACTTATGGGGGTGATGATCATATGCTGCACCATCCTAATCATGCTGATATACTTCCCACAATGGGGTGGAATGTTTTGCGGTCCATCTTCTAAAGGCACAACAGAAGAAGACTACTACATGGGTGAATGGAATTCAGCAGAGAAAGAGAGAGGTATTCACATGGCGAGCATGAAATTCTCCGAAAACAGCAGAAGTGAAAGAGGCAAAAGAGTCGGATCTGCACCAACACCCGCCAATGGGACTCCAAGTACATACGTGTGAACAAAGTATCGAAGTAATGAATGTTTTTAACTCAAATTAAGGTTTTATGCTTTCGAATATAGTTGGCAAGGTGTATAAATAAACATGACAATGGTCCTCCCTGTCATCTTATTAGTTATTAACCCGAATCGCCTGCAGTAAAGATTCGAAGTTTGCACTTCCTTCTTCCATTTATGTCATATCTTGCGTTTCTACATCTTTTCAGCTATGGAACTTATAAAAAAAAAATGAAGAAAACTGCAGAACTAATCAATTATTAGCATTGATAATCATCTTGCATACTTTAAGCAGTATGAATGAATTTCAACTGGCCTATTTCTACATGTAATTAGAAAAAGATAGTGGCAGGACGGCGCAAATTTCCTCAAGATTTCGCCTTAACTCTTCTAGACAGCAGCAGAGGTTCCTAACAGAATGTGGCATCTGTTAGTGATTTTCATAAATATGAACCATCCGTGGTAATCACATTTGAAAGTCCTTCCAAGTAATCGAAATCTGAAATTTGAAATGACTTGTCTAGTTTAAAAACGAAGTTTGCAGGCTATATTGGAGACTAGAAACCTTCTTTCGCACTTTGTGTTTGTGGTCGTCTTCTCATCAAAGGTGTATAAATAGGAGTTTGATGGGTTATTTGTGTCAAAATATCATGAAAAAAAAAAAAAAAAAAAAAAAACAACTGAACTATAATTACTCTTGATGAAAATATGATTTCACCCATTTTGGTGCTTTAGTTATCAAGAAATAATCAGCATTCCTCCATAAACTAAAGGGCCTGACATTATATTCTAAAACCTCACTTAAAATGGTTTTTCATCCTCTGCTTCATATTGGGAAAGTTATTAGAGAGAAGGAAAATCTTTAAAACTAGTACAAATATATATTGAATATGCTCTCTCCTTGAAAATCTCCTCTTCCATCATCGGTTACTAGTATATCCACGAATCATAGCTGGAGAATCCAAATGATTTCATTCATGTCAATGTTGTAGATCCACAGAATCAATGGAGCATGTTCTTATTAATGGCGTCGTGGCAATAGCTGTCTTGAAACACTTCAAGAAAGAATGGCTTATCAACCCTCCACAGTTGGTGTGCCCCAACAAGCTATATCAATACTGGAAGTATTACAAAAGATGATTCTAAACTTGGCAGCTCCTTATTTATCCCTCATTTTCTCGTATTTTGTTATCTATGGCTGAAACATAACAACTCTAAATATCATGGTTACTAATGTTGGCACAAAGGAATCTGATCTAAGTCAGGCACGTCCAAGTTGCAGCAAAATGTCTACGATTGTTCTATGAAGAAACACAGTGTTAGCATGATAAAATTGAATAGGATGGGTGTCTCACAAACTCGGCAGCATGTGGAGGTAATTAGGGGTACAAAGTTTAAATTATGGAATCTGGATTATTGCCGGTCCTAATTATTACCATTCTGGGAAGCTGGTCGCGAATCAACCTTCGCAGTGAGTTCAATGTCTCATTAAGGATTGTTTAGAAATTTGTATTCTTATAAAATTCTATTTAAGGAATTGAAATCCTTGTAAAATTCGATTTTGCCCTAATTTATCGTATAAATAGTGAGCTGTACTTAGGCTTTTTTTATAAAGAGAAAAAGATACGCTAGAGAAGATAGGAGCACAATTTTCTCTTGGAGACCTTTTTCTCATCATTGTAAATTATTGCAATGACGAGATAGGATGTAGTCTCACATTGAGGTTAACATCTATAAATCTTGAGGGTTATTGAGTGCTTATTTTTCTTTTATCAAATTGATTGCTTTCGATGGAAAAGAATTAGGATTTATAATTCTCAATACAAAAATGTTACACTAGCTCTCCATGAGTTTTACGTATCATACTTGCTGAAACTAGAGCTATAAGCATAGAATTAAACTATTCTGTAGGAAAAAAAAAAATTGACACGCTTGTTGACGCATACTCACATGGAAGTTAGACCCATGCGGGACTCATGTGAATAAAAAAATCCAAAAAAATCCTATCCCATATTGTGAGAGGTCTGTTAGGAAGGGTGTCAAACCTTCCGTAGCAACATAGAAAATTGATAAGTACATGATTAGAGTTCAGCCACCAGTTTGGCTAATTTAAAGTATTGATTGAAATAGATTCAATGGTCTCCATTCATCTTATTCCCAGAAAAGTTGACTATCTAGCAAACTCTGTTTATAGAGAAAGGAGTTCTAAGACAGTGATACCCAGTGACTTCATATAATAAGTTGAAGGTATAGGAATAATGCTACGTTGCTAGAAAAATCTGGTCAAATGCAGTGACAAAAGACACCTTGGTGGGAGGTGATTGTGTGAAAAAGTTGACTATGTTTAAAACAGTCTAATGATGAAATGCAATATAACATTGTGTTAAACTTTCTGTCCATGTAACATGATTGAAGGTACAGTGAGTGTAGAAAAAATGGGGATATCCCAGCTTTTAGGTTGAGAAACGAGAGGCCGACCTTTATACATGAATTTGAGTTTTCTATTTTGATGGCTTTGTTTTTTATTAATATTGATAAATGTAAATCCATGGAGCTAATGCCCATATCTCCTTCCTTCTAATAATTTTCAATATCAATATACTTGAGTTGGGGACGATGCCCAACCCTACATTCATTCTAGAGATAAATACCTAAAAACCGATATGTCACACGAAATGTCCTTTACCAAAAAAGTTAATGAAACTAAATAAATTAGTTCAGTAATGAGCCATATTAGTGACATGTAACTATTTTACATTTCGTACGTGATAGGAACATCCTCTATATCAATACAATGATAATTAATGTATCAATTCTAAATAATTTACGAAAAAGTAATGCTATGTATCACCATCGATTATAAGCAATCTAGGTGGTACAAGATTTCACCACTTCATTGGACCTAAATCTTTACGAAAAAGGAAGCATTTGGAAAGAATGAAACCTTGTCCTTTGAGTTGTATTGCAAGTTATACATGCACTCTTAATGTTATCCAAGTCAATTAGCTTGAGAATATTTAAGCCCAAAATTAACCCAAAAGCAGTTTAATCCTATAGCATCAACTAATAAGCGTTAATGGCACACTCGATGGTATTAATAAATGAAATTTAAAATTGTGACAAGTGTATTGCCCATCTGGTCTAACACTGCTTACCAATGTGCACAAACTATTGTGCGTAACACATTCTAAGCTATTGTAGTATTGCAAGAAGTCATGAACTGACCTATAATTATCATTTAATAAACACCAAAGAGATTAACACAAAGTCGTTCATGATTATTATAAGTTCATTCCGTATTAGACCAACCAGAATAGGGCTATATACATTCTTAAGGATTCATTCGAGCATATCTACACCTAACATTGAGAGGTATTAAAATTTATACAGAAAATCAATGAAATGGAAGTATCAGGTTTTGAATTGAATCAAGAAACTATGTACAACCTAAGAGGAAGAAAAAATCAAGACTTGCTAAATTTCTTGTCTCTTCTTCATGAAAGATTTTGGCAGCCCAGTTGGAAAAAAATCCCACGGACATATCAGAAACGAAAATCACAAAAAGAGCTTGAAAGATAAGAACAAATTAATTATAGTTCGACAAATTGCCAATGAACGCAAGAATATAAGACTTTATTAACTAAGAAAACTATACAATACAATATTTTTTTCTTGTTCTTACAACTTCTCCATAACCAAAACTAAGTTTTGCCAATTTGTCTTGTGCTTGCAAGAAATAATAACAAATATATCAACCCCTAAATTAGGACTATGTATTTTTAGGTTACTTCAAATCCTAATTCTACTAGGATTAGCAAGCCGTAACACCAATGAGCCAAAGTAAATTAATCCAGTACAATCACGTCGGCCCACAATGATTAAATCGGTCCAACAATTGGGTCTAATAAATTAATCCAACAACAATAAATCAGATTCCTGACACAATGTTGCATATGTTAGAGAATTTGATATAGATGAAATTACAGCCATCCCTAGGTTTCAAATCCCCAATTCAAAATTAAGATTTGTTGCGCATTTTTTCCTCCATTTTAGAAAAAATATAGCCGTTTCTGGGGCCCACTTGCCATAAATGCTTTGACTCTCATCTCACATTTTGCTGTGAGAAATGTGCCCAATGATAGGAATTCTAATTCTCATTTTTGATAAAATTGGCAACAAACAGAGACTAAGATTTTTAAAGTTTTTTAATTCAAAAATCAGATAATCATAACGTTTTTTAAATATTAATAATAAAGTTATAAAATTAGAACCCATTTCCACTCCCTAAAATCATCCAACCCAAAAATATTTTCTCTCTCTCTCACCTTTCCATCATTTCTCCGACGGATAGACCCGACAGTGCGACTATGAGGACTTCATTTGTCATCGCATGGTGCTTCCGTTGTTCGTGGCGGCATGGTGAATTGCGACGAGATAGAGTTGCGGTGGAGTTGTCTGGATCTGTACACAGTGCTGATCTATAGCTACTATAACTTCGATTGCGGTCAGATCCAGATCTACGTGTATAGAGAGGTGTGACGTGGTGGTGGTCGAGGCATCGCATTGGTGTTGATGGTGGTGACGTCGTGCGAAGGTAGCTATGGGATTTGTGTTTATCCATGGTAGTGCGTGATAAATGGTAAATGACAGTGGCGTTGAGTGGTGGTGGTGGCGACATTTTCAGATCAGTCTGTGGTTACTGTGGGGCACTGCTGATGTGACAGTAAAGTGGTGATTCTATAGGCAGTGGCGGTGGCGATGGTCGTGGCGTGGCGCAACGGTGATGGTGTGAAGATGATTTAAGGTGTGGTGTCCTGGCAGCAGTGGTGGTTGTTGTAATGGATTGGGGTTATGGTGGGACATGGTGGTAGTAGCGGCAATGATGGTGATGGTGTGCTGTGGATGTGGTGTGGTGCAGTCAGTTGTTGTGGTTTGGTGATCGTTTTTGTTGTTGGCGGTGGTCGTGGTTGTGTTGTGGTGAGGGCGAGGTGTAATAGTGATTGTGACCAACTATTTGGTTGCTCTGTGACTAAGTATTGACAGTGGATTGAGATTGAGAGTGAAGTGTTTGGTCTATGTGACCAACAATTTGGTCTGTGATCTTAAAATTTGATAATCTATGAAAAAATAATCTGTGACCTCAATTGGTCTGACCTTAAAATTTGATAATCTGCGACTAAAAAATAATCTGTGACCTA